ATGTCCAAGCTGATCCCCCCCATGCTTACCTGGAGTCTCTGCACCCCAGACCCTCAATAGCTTGCAGAGGGAAGCATACAGGATGACTGCGTATCAGACCAAGTCCCTTTGGTGCTAATTCAGAGTTATGGGCCATACACATACTGGGATGCTTCACCTAAGAGACCTCTCCCAGCGCAGCTCCCATACACTGCTCTCCCAGACTGCACTAGACCACTTCCAAATCCAGCCAGGTCACTAATCTCTGAGATCATTTCCAACTAGGGCTTCAGAAAACAAGATCAGATTGCCATCCTCCTCTGTACTGCCAGCAACCAGGTCCCTCATCAAGTGTCCCTCTAAGATCATCCACCCTCCCATGGCCCCAGTACATTTGACAAAGCAATGGGAAAAGCACTTGGGTCTGCAGGGAGCATATACCCTTACCAACCTGCACCAAGAGGGACAAGGCACAGGTGAAGAACTCCTACAGCGGGACAACTCTGCAGGGGGAGATCCTAGAGCATACAGTAGCTGTGCCAGCATCTTTAAGGTTTTCCAGATCTTTACAGCTAGCATAATCAGAGAGCTCAAACACAGGGTGTGCATGTCGGCACGTACTGAGTGGGTGCTACCTTGCAAAGGACTGCCAACATTTGCTCCCTTGACATTTCAGCAGAGAACATCTACAGCATGCAGACCCAGGTATATCCACGGGAAATGGCAAGGCATTGCCAGAAGATGCACCTGCTTTTGCAAATAATTGCAGATGTGTCCTTTGTCAGCACATGTACACCAGGGGCCTGACCTCCAGGGGTGCTGGGCACCCTCAGCCCAGCGCTGAGAAGAGTCAGGTCTCCTGTTGTTACGATCAGTAACATCAGGACTGCTGTAAGCACCACCACCCATCTCCGCAGAAGAAACTCCATGCAAGCAGGTCACAGCAACTCAGACAAGCCTGTCTGTCCTTCCCCCTTTGCTCAACCACTCATGCCGGGAGTCACAATCTTGCTTGGTTTCAGTCTCCCAGACTGTTTGCCTTCACTCCCTCCCCAGATTGTCTCGTAGCCTTCACACCTCCCTCCTCTGATGCTGCAACGTCTGCTCTCCTCCGCGCTTCTCTCTATTGACAGTGGCAGTTCCCGGCTCGGGGAGGGGGGCAGATGCAGCCCCTGGGGAAACAGCACTAGGTAGACAGTTATATACAGCAGAAGTGAATTTTCTTTCCCCAGTTACCTTTCATAGGCCTCCTCAAAGCGGTCCACAGGTCCCCAGGGGTTAACAGGCCACAAGATGAAAGCCACTGATCTAAGAAAAACCACAGCCCACATATTCCTTTGCCCTCTTGAAGGCCCAAAGCATTTAATCTGTCTGCTAAAAATCACCTTGTCGGGCCTGTGCTTCCCCTTCTCGCTCTGTCCCAACCTTGACCATGCACTCCACAGCACTCAATCCGATTTCCAGCACACCAAATAAAGGCTCGTGGCTGCTTCATCTTCAAGGCCTCCCTGCCTGGGCAGAGCAAGCACTACCACAAATGCAGGAGGGACTTCCCTCAAGACACAAAATAAAGCTGAATATAACAGAAGCCTTTTAAACTCCAAAAGGTGTTTAAAACTCACCAGACACACCACTAAGCGCAAAATGGTTACACCCTGCTCCAGCCCCTGCAGCAGAGCAGTGACGACCACCCTGCCACACGCTGGCATGCCGCTCAGCAGTCTCGCCCCCAAGAGGCTCTGCTCTCCAAACAACCTCAGGCATCCTAGGCAAAAAAACTCATGCAAAGGTTTGGTAGTCCTGAAGCACCTGTACGAGTCCTGACTACCTTTACAACAAATCAGGCAGGATAGGAAGACCAGAGAGTGGCTGCAGTTGTCATACAGAAGGAGGGCTGCAAAGCTGGCTTCCCAACAGTAAAAAATTATTGCCAAAACAAGAACGTACATCAAAACCGTGGTAACCACAATGGGGCTTAACCAAGCACGGGGATGGGGGGGCTGATCTAAGCCCCAGCAGGGCGCATCTTCCTTGCCAACATCCTTGGCCCTCTGAACAAACCAACGCACGTGTTTGCTTTGCCTCTGTACGGGCTGCACTCGTGTGGCTGACAAATAGCTTCTCTCCATTCTTTTGGGATTACGTGTTTAAACAGCCAGCGAGAACGGGAAGCAAGTTCACCCGATTGCCAGCTGCAGCTGTGACGCACCTTCCCCGCAGCCCCTCTGCCCCTGGCCCTGCAGCAGGGCTGCCAGGGCTGCTCACTCAGGTACCCACAAAATGCCGGAGCTTCTTCCCATGCTGAGCAAGTGGAAAAACTTTTGTGCGCTCTGATCTGCAGCTCGTCCCCCGCAGCTTCCCCTTGAGGGCTTAATGTAGTTATTTCTACCCCTGATGCCTATAATTAAATGAACATTTCCTTATGGCACTGAAGAGGCCAAGGAAAAACTGACTACGGGGAATTTTCATCCATTCTGATTTATACTCCCTCATCTCAGGCTCGCTGACACAATGCTAACAAGGAATCTTCTAAGCAGGCAGAAGGGGGGAAAAAAAAAAAAAACAACTTAAATAGCCCCCGTGCAGACAAGCACCTGGGGAGACAACAATAGGGAAGAGACCAATTCCCTCCCTTCTCCCCTTGCTTTTAAACACATCATTTTCCTACTTGCAAAAGCAAAGGGGCTTAGATACCCTAGAGCGTGGAGAAATGCTTCCACACACTGCCAGCAGACCTGTGCTGCCCAGCAGTCAGGTGAGGTGCACAACCCATTCCAGCCCATCCCACAGGTTTGTGGAGGCTCCTGATCCTGGGAAGCACAGGGGAATTGCACTCAGTCCCTCCAGCTCTCTCTCAGGTTTTAACTATTCCTGTCCTGAAGGACTGGAAGAGCACGGCCAGAACACACTGAATTATTCCAGACTGGAACAGATCCTAAACTGGTGAGCAAAGCTACTAAGTAAAAAAGGGCTTGATTTATAAATTCCCACAATCTGCATCCCACTTCTGACCTCCCATCTAGGTAGGAGTCCAGGTGCCCAGAGATGCCTGCTCAACTGAGTCCAGACCCCCAGAGCTGCCACAACCCACCAGGATTACCAGTTTCACTAGGTTAGGAACTGACCTGTCCCTCAGAGCTCTGGCTCACCTTCCACCCCTACACCTCTCCCTGCTAGGACAGCAGAGAGGATCACAGGGAAAGCCAAGGATCCAAATCCTCCATATCACCACGAGCTGGACAGCAATACCAGAAAGTTTTCAGCGGCCTTCTGATAGGAAACACACCCTCCCCTCAGCACAGGCACTATCAGCTATGGTCCTTTTGGCCAACAGATTTTAAAACCACCACGAGGTCCATCTCCTTCCTCCGCAGAGAAAATGCAGCTTTCAAGCGATGGGGATGGGGCCAACCCTTGCTGGCAGATCGACAGGGTGGGAATACAGCAGTTCCCCCTGCCATGCATTCTGCCCTCTGTGGAGAAGGTGGAGGTCTGGCTGAATTTGGGGACACGGGTCTCCTGCTGAGACACAGCTAAAGAACATTTGCCAGCTGTGCCTGAGGTTTTCCCTAACACGGACAACCTGCCTGGAGAAAGCCACAAAACTGGCTCCCAGCTCAGCTCTGGAAAGGCTTACTGCTTCTGTGCCACAGAGTATTGGCACAAAACCCCAACAGGTTTTCTGATCCATTTTGCTCTTTAAGCTCACTATTGTTTGCAAACCTAAAAGGCTTTATCCCTTCTCTTTAGGGAGCCCCAGACGACAGGGGCGAGGCACTGTACATACAGCTCGTGAACAGAGCGGCTCCACAGATGACACATTCCCCCATGAACATTTTCGGGAGATCGGGGTAATGAGAGATGTGCCAGGGGGGCTGGATGTCACCGTATCACAGCTCAGTCATGCTGGAAGACAGCGACTGGTTGGGAAACCAGCCCTTCCCTCCCTGCCAGAATGACTCAAGACAAAGACTCCCCCACTCTTTAAATGTCCCTGTTCAGAACTCCTGTTCCACACTAACCAGATTTCTGCACAAAAGGGATGGGGGTAGGGAGGAAGAAGGCAATCTCAGCCTCAGAGGTCTTTGGGGGAGATCCCTTTGTTGGGAAATTTCCCCAGACTATTCAAAAATAGAAGCAGACCCTTCATAACTATTCCAAGTATAATTATTCCTGCACTTAATTGCCTTTCCCTGGCACCCTACCTCTCCTCCAAATTTCAAGAGGCGGCTCTTGGGGAAACGTGGAGCAATTTGTGGTTCCCTCTTCCTTTGTGCCAGTTTCGCGGTAGTTAGCAAAATTACCGCGACGCCAGACGAATCCATCAATACAAGAGGAGGCGGTTTTGGGGCAGCCCTGGCATAGCAGGGTCTCCCCCGCCGAAGGGCCGCAGCAGGCTATGTGTCCCATCGAGGGCAATGTCCATCCTCTCCCCGCACCGCAAGCGCTGCCGGTGCTGGCCACGGTGTGCGGGGTCCCTGCAGGGACCAGCGCTGTGTACCCCGCCTCTGAGACGGGAGACCCCGGGTGAGCCCCGGTCCCCGCGGGGTGAAACCCACTTGCATCCAGCCCCCCACGCCAGCAGCCTGGCGGTTCCCTGTCACCCCTCGGGGGTCCCGGGGCAGAGACCAGACGCTCCAAAGGGCTCTGATGCCCGGGTGGGGAGCAGTGCCCGGTACCCAAGGAGAGCTCCGGGGTGAGGGACAGGGACCTGACACTGGTCGCGGTAACTGGGGGTCAACAGGGCTTGCGGCAGAGGGGGGTGATGGGGACCTGCCTCCCACAGAGATCCCGGTGGCCCAGGGAACTGGGCTACATCGCGGGCCGCGGTTACCGGGGTTTGGGGGGGGGGGGGGGGGGGGAGGAGGGAAGGGGTGCAGGCCCGCACCCCGCCGGGGGTCCCGGTGCCCGGGGAGGGGACCGACACCCACCCGCTGCCCAGCCCCGCCTCAGGGGTCCCGGCGGCCGGCCCCTCGGGATGGCGGTAACCCCCGCTCCCCCAGCCCTCCTCACTCACTCACCGGCGGCCAGAAGCAGCAGCAGCAGCAACGCCGGGGCCCGGTGCAACGGCTGCATGGCGGCGGCCGCTGCCCTGCCGCGCCGCCTCTTCACGGGGAGCGGGGCCGCCCCGCCGCCCGCCGGGCTCTGCCCCTCGCCGCCGCGCCCGCCCGCCGCCCGGCCCCGCACTGCATCCCGCCGCCCGGCGCCGCCTCCTCCCGCCGCCGCTGCCCGCCGCTCCGGGGGCGGGGGAAGCGGCGGGGTGGGGGTGAGACGGGGGAGGGGGGGGGGTCCTAACCGCCCACCGGGGCAAAGGCAGAGGGCAGCCGCCGATTTGCACCAAATTTCTGGCTGCGGAGCCGCCGCCGCCCCCCCGGCCCGGCCCCCCCACCCTGCTGCAGGGCCCCGGCACGCGGCCGCCCCCGGGCGCCCCCAACGAGTGCCGGCGGCGCGGCTGCATGCGCCAGCGGTGGGTGATCAGCCCCCGCGGCGGGAAGGCGGGAGCCGCCGAACCCCGCCGGCGACGCCCCCCTCCGCCGGGTGTGGTGAGGGCAGGAGCAAAGCCCCGACAGCACCGCTGCGGGGCAGGAGGGGGACGGTTCTGGGACCACAGAACCCTTAACATCCGTCGTCTGACCTTTCCTCAGTTGTCCGTTTCCCACAGAGCCGCTCTGTCACCCTCACCGCTCAGCTACCGCCTCACTTCACAACCTGGAAAAACTTCTCCCCCCAGGGCAACTTCATTTCAACCTCTGGAAGTCATCTGGTCCAGCCTCCCTTCTGAACCAGGTTACCTACAGCAAGCCGCCCAGGACCAGATGTCTTCTGAGTATGTCCAAGGTTGGAGACTCCACAACCTCTCTTGGCAACCTGTGCCAGTGCTCAGGCATCCTCACAGTAAAAAACTGTTTCCTGATGTTTAGAGGGAACCTCCTGTGTTTCATTTTGTGCTCATTGCCTCTGGTCCTATCACTGGGCACCACTGAAGAGAGCCTGGATCCACCTTCTTTGCACTCTCCCTGCAGGTATTTGTATGTGTTGATAAGATCCCTCTCGACCCTTCTCTTCTCCAAGCTCAAAAACAGTCTGTTTTCTCAGCCTTTTCTGGGACATGAGATGCTTCAGTTCCTCGATTATCTTTGGGGCCCTTTTTTGGACTCTCTCCAATATGTCCATGTCTCTTTTACTGGGGAGCCCAGCACCAGATGCAGCACTCCAGGTGTGGCCTCACCAACACTGAATAGAGGGGAAGGATCCCCTCCCTCAACCTGCTGGCAGTACTTCGCCCAATGCAGCCCAAGACGCCATTAGCCTTCTTTGTGGCAAAGGCACGTGTCTGGCTCATGTTCAATCTGGTGTCCTCCATGACCTCCAGGTCCTTTTCTGCCAAGCTGCTTTCCAACTGGGTGGTCCCCAGCATATTTTGGTGCATGAGACTGGTCCTCTCCAGGTGCAACACTTTGAACGCCTTGTTGAACTTCATGAGGTTCCTGTTAGCCCATTTCTCCAGCCTGTCAAGGTCCCTCTGGATTACAGCTTGACCCTCTGGTTTATCAGCCATTCCTCCCAGTTTTGCATCATCAACAGACTTGCTGAGGGTACACTCTATCCCACCATCCAGATCATTAATGAAGATGTTAAACTGGACTGGACCTCCTGGGGTACACTGCTAGTTACTGGCCTTCAAATAGACTTTGTGCCACCACCCTCTGGGCCTAGACATTCAGCCAATTTTCAATCCACCTTACTGTCTTCTCATCCAGTCCATACTTCAACAGCTTGTCTATGAGGATGTTGTGGGACACAGTGCCAAAGGCCTTCCAGAAGCCCAGGTAAACAATATCCACTGCTCTCCCCTCATCTACTAACCCAGTCATTTCATCATAGCAGTTTATCAAGTTCATCCCTTGGTGAAGTAATGCAGACTACTCCTGTTGATTTTCTTGTTGTTTGTGTGTCTGGAAATGGTGTCCAGGATTAACTGCTCCATCACATTCCTAGGGATTGATGTGGAGATGACTGACCTGTAGTTCCCTGTGACCTCCTCCTTGCCCTTCTTAAACATAGGAGTGATATTTGCTTTCCTTCAGTCTTTGGCCACTTCTCCCAGTCACGATGATTGACCAAAGATTATTGAGAGTGGCCTTGCAATGACACTTGCCAGATCCCTCTGCACTCATGGGTGCTTTTCGAAGAGCCCAAGATCTTTGAAAAGGCCAAAGTCCACTCTCCTGAAGTCCAAGGTTGTGAGCTTTCTTTCTACCCTCCTTCATCACTTCAGGATCCTGAACTCCACACCTCATGGTCACTGCAGCCAAGGCTGCCTTTGACCTTCACATCCCCAATGAGCCCCTCGTTGGTGAGTATGAGGTCCAGCAGAGCACCTCATCTCATTAGCTCCTTTATTGTCCTCCACTTACTGGACAAGTTATTGTCAATACACTCCAAGAACCTCCTGGATTGCTTATGTCCTGCTGTGTTGTCACTCCAGCAGGTGTCAGGGTGGAGCACATCTGGCTCCTGTTCAGTCTTGAGGAAGGTGAACTTACTTTGTAGTTGTAAGTCCTTCTGGGGATCAGGAGCCTTCCTCCTGGTGTCAGAAACTTCCATCCTTCACCTTCTCCAGAGATTGCACATACTTTAATATTGGGGTGGACACTGCCTGCTTCTCTACTTCATTTGGGGTTGAGAGCTCTTCAAGGTGTTCTGCCTCAGAGAAGAACTTGTTTATCTTCCTTCATCTTCTCTGATGCTGCGCAGCCTGCTCACTTCCTCCTGTAACTCCTGCGCTCGGTGGCAGAACTCCTGCAGGATGGAGCACAATTTCCCCTTGTCATGTCCCACACTCCTGGCACCACAGAGAAGTCCCAGGCACTCGCTGCAGCCTGGGGCTTGGAGGTCTGCATCGTTATCTGAAGTTGGGTCTGTGTTGGAGCCTCTGCCCTAGCAGAGACAGCAGCTTCAACACCTGCTGGGGAAACCATTCTGTGGTGTGTCACCACCATATCTGAGACTGTCACAGTGATACTAATTCAGTTGATGGCCCCTTCTTCGTGCCCTTCTGTGAAAACTGCTGTGCAAACTGCTGCGCAAACTGCTGCATCTGTAAAAAAAAAAAAAAAAAAGAGAGAAAAAAATAAAATATTTTATAGTGCAGCAGTTCTTGGATTTGTAGCTCTTGGTGCAGTTCTCTGTTTTGGTGGAGAGCACTGCAGAGAAACATGCTGAATATCATGCTGAAAATCATTATTACAGCAACAAGGCCAACTGCTCCAATTACATTCAGTTTCAAATTAAACACATCTTTAGTGGCCTCAGGGAACAACATTACAGTAAATGACTCAAGCAAGGTCTTAGTCAGACAGGTATCCAAGAAATAAGGCTCAACAGGTCCTATAATATCACAGCAGCTGAGAGTGACCACCTGCCCACTCCCTGCACTTCAGTCCCTCTCACCTTCCCAGCTCCCTCTCTCGGACCTCCAGCACGTGCCACCTCAGAGGAGCTGTGCAACCCCCAGCCTGGGCCTGGCCAAATAGTGGAGACCTGGTCAAGCCCCAAGCATCACAAAGCTGCAAACATGGTATGACTCCAAGCTGAAGGATTCAGAAACGTATTGGTCTCTTCCTGTTAGGCATTCAGCTCATGTTTTCAAGCTTTCCTCAGCAGCAGTGACTAGGAGCCTTTTTCTCTGGTTTCAAAACAATTTTCTCTTGTCACACAACTCTAGGAAGACAGGAGATGCTAAAATCCAACATTGCAGGCCCAGAGTGAGTGCAGGCCACACTGTCATGGTCTTACCAAGTGTCTGTGTGCCTGCAATGCTTGCACTGGGTGCCCAGTGCTCTCTATCTCCCACATGGTATGTTGCTGAGACGACAGGATGTACGTATGAAGGTGATCAGGATTTTTAAATTCAAACGTTCTTATTCCTCAAATAAGTGTTCATTAAAAATATCCCAGAGTGTTTTGGTTTGTTTTTTTTTTTTTTTCCTGTAAGAATTTAACCTTTTTTTTTTTTGTTTGAAGTGTGAATCTCCTGAAAAATATATTGATGGTATTATTTTCTGGCATGAACTTTTTGGTCTTCAACAACTAAAGAAAGGCGTCATGTGCCAAAGGCCACTGAACCCTCCAATGAATCAAACAGCTGGTCGAAGTTACTTGGTATTACCAATACTGACCTTTACAGCTCCTACCAGACCAACACTGGCACACGTCACCCCTTTGTGCAATTGCTTGCCTCTTTTTGCCAGCTCTTTCCTTCTATCATCTGCTCCCATGCATCAGCTACCCCAAGTGTGACAAGGGCAGGTAACAGACTGGCTGCACCCGTTACCCAGAGCAGCAAGGCAAAGCCAACAGGCTTGAACCAAAGTACTCGCTTTTGACTTCTTTTGGACCACATCCTTCCAGTGCTCTGAAAGTCCTTTTTATCCCAGAATCAATGCAGCCCCCAGCCCCCACCGAGCAGGAAATGCAGCAGGAACTACTGAGCTGTCCCTTACCCATTAGATGAGATAAAAACACTTCAGTGCGCTCAGATTCTAGTCCAGGCATGGCATTTAATGAATGCTCTTGTCATTTTTCGCTTAGTTGCTGGCAATTTGGCTGTTTTAGCACGCAGGTGGCTTACTACAAGTGGGTAACTAAAAGCCTTTCAGATCTCCTGACCCTGCCACATCCAGCTCCCAAATCTTAGAAACTGAATCCAGTGTCTGAAGCAGCCTAATGGCATCAAAGAAAGCGCAAAAACACCCTCATGTGTTACATGGCCTCGAATCAGAGGGAAGAAAGCCACACAGGCACGGCAGTGAGCACACTTTCTATGAAGCTCATGGTGCTCCCTGAATTTATTTTGACGTTATACATCAATCTCAGACTGAGCAACAAAGGGGGAGTATGAAAGGAGGAGATACATCTCAGCAAGAAAATTAAATAAAATTAGTGGCAACATCGATCAGCCAGGTCAGTGCTGCCAGCAGAGCAGAAAACAGCCAGCAGAGATGGGCAACACCAGTTCTCTTCAAGAACAGCATGAACTTAAACCCAGCACAGCCCTTGTGTCTTCATTTTACGCTCCCTGGAATAGGTACGGCTGGCTTGGCTCTCTTCTGAGCTATTGACAGCTTTATAGTCAAAGGCTTGTAATTTCTCATTTGATCTCCTCCAGCCTC